ATGGTTTCGTTGAAATTTCTGACTGTGCTGTGTAAGGCCTCATTCACAGAGGAGATACAAAATGGCACTTTTACAGGTGTAAGTGTACAATCCAAATGCGCACGTTTCTGCGTTAAAAATGGCTGTGTATATAAGTGGGGGTGTTGCAGCGACCGTCGGCTGGAACCAAACAGAATCAGCAAGGTAGAATGTCACCAGTACACCAAAGACCACCAATATGGGTCCAAAAGTTTTAATTAAGGACCTGCGAAACTCCAAAACGTTGCCGTGCTGTAACTATGTGATCATTCATTAAAACTTTTGGAATCATACTGGTGATCCTCTGTGTTCTGGTGACATTCTCTTTTGTTGTTACTTTTACATGTGTTTGACTTTCTTTAACCTCTAAACACACCTCTGTGTTAGCCTATATGGCCATATACACATAGGCATTTGCAGACATGTTAGAAGAAAAAATTTTAGAGGCTGAAAAAAAGGAGAGCATTCACGAGAGAAGCATTTGGGCAGAAAAAATTGCTGATTCCACCTAAACATACCTCAAGTTATGTAAATGCGTGTAAAAGTGTCTAAACACTAGTACATTAGTACTTTAGCATTAATTAATTCCAATGCCAAGAACAAATTAATATTCTGGCCAATGGAATGAATGCCCAAACATACCTAAACAGAATTGGAAAATGCATCTTTAGGTGTTTTTTAAGCTGCTTTCTTTCTCCCCTAGAGCGTAGGCATCCAGGGAAGGTAATAAAAAATCCTGAGGGGGGGCGTGTCCAAGATGGCGACCGGAGCGGCCACATAATCACAAGCTCCAGCGCCCTGCATCTTCATCTGCGGCCATCCGGACAGTGGAGAGCCATCAGCGAGCACCGGAGCCCTTCCTGACCCTGCCTGTATCTGAGAGAGGAGAGCGGAGTGTATTTGGTCCCCCTCAGCGGTCGCAGATACTCGCTGTCCGTTGCGGCCTACCGTGGCCCACCGCGATCTCCCTCCTCGCACCATCCGCAGCCATCCGGGCCAGAGTGAGCTCCTGGTGGGCATCGGAGGACTCCCCTGTCCTCCCCGCACCCAGAGGAGGGGAGGGAATCGATTTTGGCCCCTCTCTGCCCCACTCAACGTATCCGGCCTGTTGAGGCCTGCCGCAGCCTGCCACAGCAACATCAGACCTCAGCTGCCAGTCTCATCAGATCCCCCACCAGGACCCCTAGGCCTGTGCTGGTTGTCTGAGGCCTGTTACAGGGTGGTCGTGACCTCCGTTGGGCCTGGAGGTTTGCGGGGTCCTGCAGTTGCTTGGGAGTTGGGTGTCTGGCCTTTATATGCCCCTTTTGACCGGCTTTGGGCTCTAGGGCTCTGGGGATACTGAATCAGCTGATCTCTTGCATTCTACCGCAAATCACACAGCTTCTACTCGCATAGACCCATATGCTGAATCTCATTTTTACAATATAGAAGTTGGGCTTGGAAACATGATTGCATCTATGTAACTATACTCTCGCATCAGTACCAGGCATTATAGCTCCCCTGGGGTCATTACCATCCTTGGTTATACAAAGTTTCAATTGATCACCCCCAGGAGAGTTTCTGCATGCCATCTTCTAAGAAGAAAGGTAGGGGTAATGCTCAAAAATCCCTTATGATGTATTTAATGAAAACGCAAGAGATTGGCAGCATGTCTCAGAATATCATTGAACGAGCATCTCCTTCAGGTTCCATACAGGATACCACAGCCCATCTTTCAGCTCAGGACAGTGAGATTGCGCAGCAACTTACAAAGGGTGACTTGGAGTCTTGTCTAGAAATCATGTACACCAAGTTGGCCGCCAAGTTCCAATCGGAACTCCACAAGAGGACAAGCGTTCCCTCTCAGGAAATAGCGGCGTTGGGCTCCAGAACTGATCATTTAGAAACAAAACACGATGAGTTCAGGCTTGCTTATGGCAAGCTCTCTAGAGATCACGATCACTTACAAACCGCCTTTACGCAGCTGCAGGCACAGGTTGAGGATCTGGACAATCGTAACCGCAGGCTTAATCTACGTATTCGGGGAGTCCCAGAGACTGTAACTGATCTTTCTCATTCCACACTTAAGTTATATAAGTCCCTCCTACTGGATCACGATGTTGGATCCTTTGTGTGTGATCTCATCCACGGAGCTCTGCGCCCAAAACCCCCTAATGATAAACCACCTCGCGACATTGCCCTGTGTATGAAGGATTTTCTGACCAAAGAAGATATTCTCAGGGCTGCCCACAACACTTCAACGATCACTTTTGGAGGCTCAACATTGCTAATATTTCCGGATATCTCTCCGGCCACATTGGAGAGACGCAGGAAAATGAAGGAAATCACATCTACCCTTTTTTCAGCTCGTATCCGTTATAAATGGGGCTTTCCCTTTAAGCTGATAGTCCCACACAATGGTAGCACATACGTAGCTACATCTCTTCCTGAAGGCCGAGAAATCCTGGTTAAATCAGGCCTGGTGGACGTTCCTTCACCTCACCAATGTCTAACATCCACTCCTCGGGTGTCCTCTATTTGGCACACTCCATCTCCACGAAGGGACAGGAGGAGAATCCGACAAGAACCAGGTTGAAAAGGAGAATCAGGCAGGAACCAGGATAAAAGGATTTTGCTCATTTGTATCTCATACATCCTCTAGATGTCTTTTTGGTCACTGCTGAGATACCTATACATTTCTGAGTATAATGTTTGCTTTTCTTCACTTATCCATGGATGTGTAAAAATGATTAACAAAGGTCTTGGGACCTTTATCACACCGCCCGTATGTTAATGTTTCCAAAGCTCTTGGATGCGTGACCCCACCCTGCCGCCTGACATGGCCAGAGATGTCACCGCCCGGTTGTGGGGTGGCTGCTCTGTTTTCCGTGTTTTGCGGCGACAGGGTTTGGGCCCGATTGGCCATTTGACGTTTGATTATTATGTTTTTTCAGGTATGGCAAATAGCCCACCTGTTCCATGTTTATTAGCAATCTTCTTAATTATAGGAGCTCTCAAAGCCCCATTTCTATAGCTTTATGTTTTTCCTTCTTTCAAAGCTTTGGTACATGATTTTGTTTTTGCACCGGTTTGTGGATGTCCCGGCACCCATCATGGGGCCTGGATACTCCATACATTGATACTGCAGGCTATAGCCCTGTCTTTTGTGGATCTGTATGTTCTACTGTCTAGACCAGTGGTTCTCACCCTTCCTAATGCCACGACCCTTTAATACAGTTCCTCATGTTGTAGTGACCCCCAGTCATAATATTATTTACCCAGTAATTATAATTCATGAAGTGTTGTTTTACCTCCAATACTGCTGCTTTCAACACAGTAGCTGCTTTTAACAGAGTAGCTTCTTTCAACACAGCAGCTGCTTTCTACACAGTAGCTGCTCTTTACACATTGGAAATATGTGGTTTCAGATGGTCTTAGGCGACCCCTGTGAAAGGGTCGTTCGACCCCCAAAGGGGTCATGACCCACAGGTTGAGAACCACTGGTCTAGACCAATAATAATAAGAGATGTCTTCCCAATGTATACTTTAATGCTGATAGATATAATTTTTGTTTACCATGGAAATCCAGTGCATTTTGCATATTGTCCAGGGTTTCAATTCACTAAATACGCGCAAAACAGCCTTTCTTCAATATAAGCATCTAGAGGCTAAAATTATTTTACTGCAGGAAACCCATTTTGCAACTACTAAACACCCGACATATTTTTGTAAATCCTACAAACAGGGGTTCTACACCTTACACTCTTCTAAAAGTAGAGGAATAGCCATTTTTTTGCACAACTCATTTCCCTTTGATGTTCAACATGTTTATCGTGATCCAGATAGTAGGTTTATATTATTAAAGGCACCCTCTCAGGTCGTGAACTTATGATCGCTAATATCTTTGCACCGAATCCTTTTTTTCTCAATTTTTCAAAATTCTGGATAGGTTTTTGTCCCCCCATCTATTGGTGGACGGTGATTTTAACCTGGTACCAAACCCTCTTTTGGACCGTAGCTCATCCTCACAATCCTCTCAAGCTTTTCCAAAATCCCTTACTAAAAAACTTGGTGGACTCCTGGAGGGCACATAATGTAGGAGTCAGAGATTATTCATTCTATTCTCACCCACATGACTCTTATGCTAGATTGCACTATATTTATTGCACTCCTATTTTGCTAGCTAATTCTAGGAAAGCTGCATTCACTTAAGCCCCTGGTTGGATCTCAATTGTTAGGGATCCGGGTATGACCAGAAATGTGTGGACTGACACAGGGAAACGCAGGCTTCAGGTATAGTGTAAATAAGACAATTTATTAAGACTAAACAACACAAACGCAGTGCAAGGTAAACATAACACAGTGCAAACAACCCAAACTCCAACAGATAACCATATATACAAATCAACATAGTCAGGCAGGCCGGGTCGGTAGCAAACGGGCAAACAGGGTACCAGGAGAGAGCAGAAGAGTGGTCAGGAATAGCCGAGGTCAGGACAGGCGGAGTTCACTCAGAGTCAGGATCAAGCAGAATCAGGAATCAAGCAGGAAGCAGACAGGATGCAGGTACAGGGGCTCATGGGAAACATTACACCAAGGCCTGATCACAGGCCTGGCCATTCCTTAAATACACCTGCTGCAATCAGTCTCAGGTGATGGCTCATTGTAGGAGTGAGCCTCTGGTTGCTGAGAGCACCCACTGGCCAGCCCTGGTACTGCAGCCCACAAGGCAAGTGAGTCCCCACCACCACTGGCAAATTCATTCCTGACAGTACCCCCCCCCCCCCTCAAGGAGCGGACGCAGGACACTCCAAACAGTCTGTAATGGCCCAAATGTTCCACCGCCTGGGTCTGGCAACTGGCTGGACATCCCCACTCCGGAATCAAGCGATTGGCTGGGTCTCCTGCTGATAGGCCTATCTTTTTGCAGGAGACTGCAGGAAGGCAGATTGCTGGACACAGGATTTCCAGAAGCAGGCAGGGCATCAGGAGCTGGTATGTCAGGCTGGGCAGCAGGCAGAGGCACGTCAGGTTGGGCAGCAGGCAGGCAAGGCAGCGGGCACCGGGCCATCAGGCGGAGCAGCGGGCACCGGGCCATCAGGCGGAGCAGCAGGCAAAGCAGTGGGCACCAGGCTATTAGGTGGAGCAGCAGGCAAGGCAGCGGGCACCGGGCCATTAGGCGGAGCAGCGGGCACCGGGCCATCAGGCAGAGCAGCGGGCACCGGGCCATCAGGTGGAGCAGCAGGCAAGGCAGCGGGCACCGGGCCATCAGGCAGAGCAGCGGGTACCGGGCCATCAGGCGGAGCAGTGGGCACTGGGCCATCAGGTGGAGCGGGCACTGGGCCATCAGGCGGAGCAGCGGGCACCGGGCCATCAGGCGGAGCAGCAGGCAAGTCAGCGGGCACCGGGCCATCAGGCAGAGCAGCGGGTACCGGGCCATCAGGTGGAGCAGCGGACACCGGGCCATCAGGCGGAGCAGCGGGCCATCAGGCGGAGCAGCGGGCCATCAGGCAGCAGGCAAGGCAGCGGGTACCGGCCCATCAGGCGGAGCAGCGGGCACTGGGCCATCAGGCGGAGCAGCAGGCACCGGGCCATCAGGCGGAGCAGCGGGTACCGAGTCAACTGGAAGAACCGGGGGGCACTGGGTCACCAAGCTTGACAGCGGGCACCGAGTCATCTGGCAGGACAGCGGGCACCGAGTCATCTGGCACGACAGTGGGCACCAAGTCATCTGGAACGACAGCGGGCACCAAGTCTCTAGCAGAACTGCGGGCACTGGGTCACCAAGCTCGACATAGGGTACCGAGTCATCTGGCAGGACAGCGGGCACCGAGTCATCTGGCACGACAGCGGGCACTGGGTCACCAAGCTCGACAGCGGGCACCAAGTCATCTGGCATGACAGCTGGCACCAAGCCATCTGGGCACGACAGCGAGCACCGAGCCATCTAGCAGAACCGCGGGCACCGAGTCATCTGGCACGACAGCGGGCACCGAGTCATCTGGCACGACAGCGGGCATCGAGTCATCTGGCACGACAGCGGGCACCGAGTCATCTGGCACGACAGCGGGCACCGAGTCATCTGGCAGAAACGTGGGCACTGGGTCACCAAGGTCGACAGCGGGCACCGAGTCATCTGGCAGGAAAGCAGGCACCGAGTCATCTGGCACGACAGTGGGCACTGGGTCACCAAGCTCGACAGCGGGCACCGAGTCATCTGGCACGACACAGCGAGCACCGAGCCATCTAGCAGAACCGCGGGCACTGGGTCACCAAGCTCGACAGCGGGCACCGAGTCATCTGGCACGACAGCGGGCATCGAGTCATCTGGTACGACAGCGGGCACCGAGTCATCTGGCAGAACCGTGGGCACTGGGTCACCAAGGTCGACAGCGGGCACCGAGTCATCTGGCAGGAAAGCAGGCACCGAGTCATCTGGCACGACAGCGGGCACTGGGTCACCAAGCTCGACAGCGGGCACCGAGTCATCTAGCAGAACCACGGGCACTGGGTCACCAAGCTCGACAGCGGGCACCAAGTCATCTGGCCCGACAGCGGGCATCGAGTCATCTGGCAGGACAGCGGGCACCGAGTCATCTGGCAGCAGGACAGCGGGCACCGAGTCATCTGGCATGACAGTGGGTACCGAGTCATCTGGCACGACAGCAGGCCCCAAGCCATCTAGCAGAACCACGGGCACCGGGTCACCAAGCTCAACAGTGGGGCACCAAGTCATCTGGCACGACAGCGGGCACCAAGCCATCAGGCGGCAGCAGCAGGCACCGGGCATCAGCCATCAGACGAGGCAGCAGGCACCCTGCCATCAGACGAGGCAGCAGGCACGGGCACCGGGCCATCAGACAAGGCAGCAGGCACCGAGGCCTTAAGCTCGACAGCGGGCACCGAGTCATCTGGCAGAACAGCGGGCACCGAGTCATCTGGCAGAACAGCAGGCACCGAGTCATCTGGCAGAACAGCGGACACCGAGTCACCAAGCTCGACAGCGGGGCACGAGTCAACTGGCACGACAGCGGGCTCCGGGTCATCTGGCACGACAGTGGGCACCGGGTCATCTGGCATGACAGCGGGCACCGAGTCACCAAGCTCGACAGCGGGCACCGAGTCAACTGGCACGACAGCGGGTTCCGGGTCATCTGGCACGACAGTGGGCACCGGGTCATCTGGCATGACAGCGGGCACCGAGTCACCAAGCTCGACAGTGGGCACCGAGTCATCTGGCACGACAGTGGGCACCGAGTCATCTGGCAGAACAGCGGACACCAAGTCACCAAGCTCGACAGTGGGCACCGAGTCATCTGGCTCGACAGCGGGCACCGAGTCAACTGGCACGACAGCGGGCTCCGGGTCATCTGGCACGACAGTGGGCACCGGGTCATCTGGCATGACAGCGGGCACCGAGTCACCAAGCTCGACAGTGGGCACCGAGTCATCTGGCACGACAGTGGGCACCGAGTCATCTGGCATGACAGTCATCTGGCACGACAGCGGGCACCGAGCCATCAAGTCGGAGCAGCGGGCACCGGGCCATCAGGGGAGCAGCAGGCACCGAGCCATCAGATGAGGCACGCAGCAGGTACTGGGCCATCAGGCAGAGCAGCGGGCACCGGGCCATCAGGTGAGGTAGTAGGCACCAGGCCATCAGGTGAGGTAGCAGGCACCAGGCCATCAGGTGAGGCAGCAGGCACCGGCCCATCAGGTGGAGCAGCGGGCACTGGGGCCATCAGGTGAGGCAGCAGCGGGCACCAAGGCATCAAGCTCGACAGCGGGCACCGAGTCATCTGGCAGAAAAGCAGGCACCGAGTCATCTGGCAGAACAGCAGGCACAAAGTCACCTGGCATGACAGCGGGCACCGAGTCATCTGGCACGACCGCGGGCACCGAGTCATCTGGTACGACAGCGGGCACCGAGTCATCTGGCACGACAGCGGGCACCAAGTCTCTAGCAGAACCGCGGGCACTGGGTCACCAAGCTCGACAGAGGGCACCGAGTCATCTGGCAGGACAGCGGGCACCGAGTCATCTGGCACGACAGCGGGCACTTGGTCACCAAGCTCGACAGCGGGCACCAAGTCATCTGGCATGACAGCTGGCACCGAGCCATCTGGCACGACAGCAAGCACCGAGCCATCTAGCAGAACCGCGGGCACTGGGTCACCAAGCTCGACAGCGGGCACCGAGTCATCTGGCACGACAGCGGGCATCGAGTCATCTGGCATGACAGCGGGCACCGAGTCATCTGGCAGAACCGTGGGCACTGGGTCACCAAGGTCGACAGCGGGCACCGAGTCATCTGGCAGGAAAGCAGGCACGAGTCATCTGGCACGACAGCGGGCACTGGGTCACCAAGCTCGACAGCGGGCACCGAGTCATCTGGCACGACAGCGGGCACCGAGCCATCTAGCAGAACCGCGGGCACTGGGTCACCAAGCTCGACAGCGGGCACCGAGTCATCTGGCACGACAGCGGGCACCGAGTCATCTGGCACGACAGCGGGCACCGAGTCATCTGGCACGACAGCGGGCACCGAGTCATCTGGCAGAACCAGTGGGCACCGGGTCACCTGGTCGACAGCGGGCACCGAGTCATCTGGCAGGAAAGCGGGCACCGAGTCATCTGGCACGACAGCGGGCACCGAGTCATCAAGCTCGACAGCGGGCACCGAGTCATCTGGCACGACAGCGGGCACCGAGTCATCTAGCAGCCATCTAGCACCGCGGGCACTGGGTCACCAAGCTCGACAGCGGGCACCGAGTCATCTGGCACGACAGCGGGCATCGAGTCATCTGGCACGACAGCGGGCACCGAGTCATCTGGCAGAACTGTGGGCACTGGGTCACCAAGGTCGACAGCGGGCACCGAGTCATCTGGCAGGAAAGCAGGCACCGAGTCATCTGGCACGACAGCGGGCACTGGGTCACCAAGCTCAACAGCGGGCACCGAGTCATCTAGCAGAACCGCGGGCACTGGGTCACCAAGCTCGACAGCGGGCACCAAGTCATCTGGCCCGACAGCGGGCATCGAGTCATCTGGCAGGACAGCGGGCACCGAGTCATCTGGCAGGACAGCGGGCACCGAGTCATCTGGCATGACAGTGGGTACCGAGTCATCTGGCACGACAGCAGGCCCCAAGCCATCTAGCAGAACCACGGGCACCGGGTCACCAAGCTCAACAGTGGGCACCAAGTCATCTGGCACGACGACAGCGGGCACCGAGCCATCAGGCGGAGCAGCAGGCACCGGGCCATCTAGCAGGACGAGGCAGCAGGCACCCTGCCATCAGACGAGGCAGCAGGCACCGGGCCATCAGGTGAGGCAGCGGGCACCGAGTCATCTGGCAGAACAGCAGGCACCGAGTCATCTGGCAGAACAGCGGGACACCGAGTCACCAAGCTCGACAGCGGGCACCGAGTCATCTGGCACGACAGTGGGCACCGGGTCATCTGGCATGACAGCGGGCACCGAGTCACCAAGCTCGACAGTGGGCACCGAGTCATCTGGCACGACAGTGGGCACCGAGTCATCTGGCATGACAGCGGGCACCGAGTCATCTGGCACGACAGCGGGCACCGAGCCATCAGGTCAGCAGCAGCAGGCACCGAGCCATCAGATGAGGCAGCAGGGCACTGGGCCATCAGGCAGAGCAGCGGGCACGGGCCATCAGGTGAGGCAGCAGGCACCAGGCCATCAGGCGGAGCCAGCAGGCACCAGGCCATCAGGTGAGACAGCAGGCACCAGGCCATCAGGTGAGGCAGCAGGCACCGGGCCATCAGGTGGAGCAGCGGGCACGGGCCATCAGGTGAGGCAGCGGGCACCGAGGCATCAAGCTCGACAGCGGGCACCGAGTCATCTGGCAGAAAAGCAGGCACCGAGTCATCTGGCAGAACAGCAGGCACCGAGTCACCTGGCACGACAGCGGGCACCGAGTCATCTGGCATGACCGCGGGCACCGAGTCATCTGGTACGACAGCGGGCACCGAGTCATCTGGCACGACCGCGGGCACCGAGTCATCTGGCACGACAGCGGGCACCGAGTCATCTGGCACGACAGTGGGCACCAAGTCATCTGGCACGACAGCGGGCACCGAGCCATCAGGCACGACAGCGGGCACCGAGCCATCAGGCGGAGCAGCGGGCACTGGGCCATCAGACGAGGAGCAGCAGGGCACCGAGACCATCAGATGAGGCAGCAGGCACTGGGCCATCTGGCAGAGCAGCGGGCACCGGGCCATCAGGTGAGGCAGCAGGCACCGGGCCATCAGGCGGAGCTGCAGGCACCAGGCCATCAGGTGAGGTAGCAGGCACCGGCCATCAGGTGAGGCAGCAGGCACTGCAGGCACGGGCCACCAGGTGGAGCAGCAGCGGGCACCGGGCCGGGCCATCAGGCAGAGCAGCGGGCACCGGAGCCATCAGGCGAGGCAGCAGGCACCGGGCCATCAGGCGGAGCTGCAGGCACCAGGACATCAGGTGAGGTAGCAGGCACCGGGCCATCAGGTGAGGCAGCAGGCACTGGGCCATCAGGTGGAGCAGCGGGCACTGGGCCATCAGGTGAGGCAGCGGGCACCGAGGCATCAAGCTCGACAGCGGGCACCGAGTCATCTGGCAGAACAGCAGGCACTGAGTCATCTGGCAGAACAGCAGGCACCGAGTCACCTGGCACGACAGCGGGCACCGAGTCATCTGGCACGACCGCTGGCACCGAGTCATCTGGTACGACAGCGGGCACCGAGTCATCTGGCACGACCGCGGGCACCGAGTCATCTGGTACGACAGCGGGCACCGAGTCATCTGGCATGACAGCGGGTACCGAGTCATCTGGCATGACAGTGGGCACCGAGTCATCTGGCACGACAGCGGGCACCGAGCCATCAGGCGGAGCAGCGGGCACCGGACCATCAGGCGGAGCAGCAGGCACCGGGCCATCAGACGAGGCAGCAGGCACCCTGCCATCAGACGAGGCAGCAGGCACCGGTCCATCAGGTGAGGAGCAGCAGGCACCGAGGCATCAAGCTCGACAGCGGGCACCGAGTCAACTGGCACGACAGCGGGCACCGGGTCATCTGGCACGACAGCGGGCACCGAGTCATCTGGCACGACAGCGGACACCGAGTCATCTGGCACGACAGTGGGCACCAAGTCGTCTGGCACGACAGCGGGCACAGAGTTATCTGGCTGGATCAGGTCATCAGGATGGATCGGGTCATCAGGATGGATCGGTTCATCAGGCCGGATTGGGTACACTGAGTCATCAGGCATCAGGGCATCAGGCTGAACAGCGGGCACCGGGGCACCAGGCTGGATAACAGAAGGCAGGTTCTCAGACAGCAGGCTGACCGATTTGGATACTGGTAGGACGGTACTGGTTGGAAAGAATTTTCGCTTCTTCTTGGGTTTAGTTACTAGAGCACTGTAAGTAAAGGCAGGTCTGTAAACGGATGGAGCAGCTGAAGACAGGGAAGAGCCGGAGGATGGAACAAAGGAGGAGGGAGCAGTTGCTACAGAGGGCTTCCTTACAGGGTAAAAGGCAGGATAGGTGCAGCAAGTCGGAGCGGGGGACTGACATGTGGTAGCTAGCAGGGTATACTGGGCTGTCATTGGGGGTGCTGTCGGGAGTGCAGGAATAGAGCTTTAAGCAGAGGAATGATGAGAAGCAGGACTGGTTTGTTGCAAGCTGACTGAGGCTGGGTGTAACAAGTCTGACCAGGACTGTAGTATGGGTTGAACAAAACTCAGCTTACACATAGCCTGTCTGACCAAAGACTGCACTGCGTTTATAAACTCCACTAGCACATGTGATGGACAAGCTGCATAATGCTCATGGAACCAATCTGGATCCTCCTCCAACAACCATACCAGCGATTCCACTTGATCTGCACTGAATGGGGGAAAAAAAGTCATCCCTGCTTTCAGGGGTACTAGCTGAAGCCAACTCCACACAAGCCTGAATTAATGGTTGCACTTCAGAGAACTCTGTGCCCTGATCTACAGGGAATGCGAGACTCCACTAGCAGCTGATCCCTGAACTTGCAATCATAGGCAAATTCTTTTTCATGGCAGACCCAAGTATATAACCTCCTCAGGATGCCCTTCCCAACAACAAGCCAAGATGGCTTCCCTGTGCAGCCACTTCTGGTCAGGAATGGCCTTGGTGTTCTCTTAGGGATCCGGGTATGACCAGAAATGTGTGGACTGACACAGGGAAACGCAGGCTTCAGGTATAGTGTAAATAAGACAATTTATTAAGACTAAACAACACAAACGCAGTGCAAGGTAAACATAACACAGTGCAAACAACCCAAACTCCAACAGATAACCATATATACAAATCAACGTAGTTGGGCAGGCCGGGGGTCGGTAGCAAACGGGCAAACAGGGTACCAGGAGAGAGCAGAAGAGTGGTCAGGAATAGCCGAGGTCAGGACAGGAGGAGTTCACTCAGAGTCAGAATCAAGCAGAATCAGGAATCAAGCAGGAAGCAGACAGGATGCAGGTACAGGGGCTCATGGGAAACATTACACCAAGGCCCTGATCACAGGCCTGGCCATTCCTAAATACACCTGCTGCAATCAGTCTCAGGTGATGGCTCATTGCAGGAGTGAGCCTCTGGTTGCTGAGAGCACCCGCTGGCCAGCCCTGGTACTGCAGCCCACAAGGCAGGTGAGTCCCACCACCACTGGCAAGTCCATTCCTGACAACAATATTGTAGACTTATCTATCACGTTTATAGGGTTGGCACCTACCCCCTATTCCTGGAGACTTAATGATTCCATGCTCACTGATACTATCTCTTGCCAGGAGGTGGTCGCTTCCATTCAGGAATACGTTCAGTCCAACACTACTTCTGATATATCCCTGGCCACACTATGGGTAGCTCATAAGGCAGTCCTATGTGGCCGCCTTATTTCCATGGCTTCTTCCAAAAATAGAGAACAGTGGCAGCAAATTCTGAAACTTACTCGAGATTTGGAAGCACATTATAGAGTTCACATTGGTAATCCATCTCTTCTCAACAAACAGATATTGTTACAAAACCATTTAGAATTGATTTTGCTTTCCTTTCTCAAAAAACTGAAAAAGCTTTCCATTGGTCGAAGGCCTCATTCTTATTACATAGCAACTCATCATCCACTATGTTTGCAAGGAAATTGAACCATTCTTTGCGACCCCCACATATCTATAAGTTACGCACTAACTCTGGCGCTCTTTCCTCTCTGCCTCAAGAAGTCCTGGGTATTTTTAAAAATTTTTATTCCAACCTATTAGCTCCCCCACAGTCGAATTCTGATCCACTATCTGACTCATGGTTGGATTCTATACCCCTCCCTACCCTCACACCCTCTCAGATAGCCTCTCTCAATGCCCCTTGTACTTTGGAGGAAATAAACCCATGCGATTAGCGCACTAAAAAGCTCCACCGCACCGGGTCCTGATATGGATTTACTGCCAATTATTATAAACACTTTGCCCCTACATTGGCTCCCTTTTTGATTACTTTATTTAATGATGTTTTGCAGGGTGGTAGGTTCCCTGAGGAGATGCTACTGGCTAACATGTCTTTAATACCTAAACCACTGAAAGACCACCATCTTCCACAAAATTATAGGCCAATCTCAGTGATGAACAATAATCTGAAAATATTTAGCCGTATTTTGGCAGATAGGTTGGACCCTATTATCTCCTCTTTGGTCTCTCCAGACCAACCGGGCTATATCCCGGACAGATTTTTCACTGACAACATTCGCCTTACTTTAAATGTTATTCAGGATGCCAAGTTGCACTCTAAAGAAGTTTTGTTACTGAGTCTGGACATTAACAAGGCTTTCGATAGTGTTCTTTGGCCTTATTTGTTTTCTTTGCTGCAGAGAATGGGTTTCAATGACGAGTTTTTGTCTGGTATACAGTACATGTCTTATATGACTCTCCCAAAACAAGGATAAGACTTCCTGGCTATAACTCAGACTTTTTTACATTGGGTAGAGGTTCCCGTCAAGGATGTCCACTCTCACCCTTACTATTTGTGCTTGTGTTGGAACCCTTGGCAATTGCAATTAGATCACATTCGGATATCTCTGGTTACCCATTATTAGTTTCACATTTCAAAATATGTATGTATGCTGATGATGTTATGCTTTTCCTCACCAACCCGCTAATCTCATTGCCTAATCTATGCACAGTATTGAACGACTTTGCTATAGTATCAGGTCTTACTGTAAATTTTACCAAATCAGTGATTATGCCTATTAATGTTCCTGATTCCCTAAGTGCATCTCTCTGTAGCTCTTTTCCTTTTCGTTGGGCCACGGATCGGATTTCCTATTTAGGTATCAAACTCACTCCCAGATACTCAGATATGTTTGCTGCTAATTATCCATCATGTGTGTCGTGCCTTTCTACTCTATTGAAGATTTGGCATGGTTACCCTATTTCCTTTCTGGGCAGAGTCACGGCAGTCAAAATGAATATTTTGCCTAAATCACTTTATTTATTTAGAGCACTCCCAGTCCCTGTTTCGAAAACGTTTCTAGATCACTTTTGGCGTATTATTAATAATTTTATCTGGCGTAATAAACGTCCACGTTTTATCTCATCGGTTTTGTACCGATCACAATGGACGGGAGGCGTAGGCCTTCCCAATTTTTAGCTATATTACCTTTCAGCCCGTTTCGCACAAATATCACAATGGGCGACTGTTAATTCTCAGATCACGTGAATTAGATTTGAATCTCAATCTATACGTCCATTTTATTTACCGAGATATTTTATGGTCCAAAATCCCCCCTCGATCATTAACTTTTTATAATTCTATTGTGGCACATTCATTGACACTTTGGTCCAAATATAAACTTAAATTGAATCTTGTCTCTTCTGTCTCTCCAGGTGTTTCGTTTTTTGGTTGGTGACCCCAACTTTGGTACAGCGTTTTCTTCTCCTCAGGCGTTTGGTGGTATGATAGATCTTTTATTAGGTTATCTGACTTTCAAAGAGGAGGATCCTATATTACCCTTGATATGCTGCGTGTACTTTTTCATGTTCCGCTTCGTGAGTACCATCGTTATCGAAAGATCCGACATTTTTTTAACTCACATTTT